TTGCACTTAAGGTGTTTGCTTTGAATTAATTTGTGGGAATATTAGTAAAGTGTGCCATGGTTTGCATTTCTTTGTGATGTTTGTGAGAATTCCTGAATCTATGGGTTTATGACTTGTGGGTTTTTTTTGTTTGTTTGTTTGTTTGTTTTTTACTTAGAACAGTCACCAACCATTATAATTAAAATATAATTTTTCTCCTTATCATTTCTCCCCTCATATTAGGGCTCACTTTATATTCAAGACCTCTTTACTATGGCTGAGAGTCTACTATGTTCTCTGTATTTTCTACTAAAAACAAAACAAAAACAAAACCCCACTACAGCAGTGTCCTACCTGTAAGGTCTGCTAGTGTAATGGTCATACAAACCTCATGAAAGCAACCAACCAATGTCTGGTTTGTCTTAAGTCCCATTCCAGGAGATGAACCCACAACTGACACTTCTTGGGTACCCAAGAAACTTCTAGATAGCTCAGGGACCTAAGGTAAAACCAAATAACTAACTGGTCTAAAAATCAACAAGAAAAAAAGGATACATTGTAGTGATAAAATGACTTCTAATGATATTATGCTAGCCTCATGGGTCAGTACCTTGCTCAGCCTTTGTCAGAGAAGTATCCTCCTGCAGAAGATGGTAACAAATACAGAGACTAACAGCTGTACATTACACAGAGAATGAGAGCCCTTGGAACACTCAGCCCTAAATGGGATGTCTCCATCAAATCCCTTTCCTTTGTAACAGCCAGAGGGGATGGAGGACACCAAGAAAACAAGGCCCTCTAAGTCAACATGAACAAAGTTTATATGAACTCACAGAGTCTGAATCAGGATGCACAGGGTCTGCATGGGTCTGCATCTACCCTCTGACTATATATTATGTCTAGTGATTTTACAGGATTATCGAGTGTGCAAACTAGTGGATCTCTAATATTTGTGTTCTCTCTTGGGCTATTTTCCTTCTGTTGGTTTATTTTATTCAACTTCAATGTGATAGTTTTTGTTTTATGTTATTAGAATTTGTTTTGTTATATTCTTAAGAAAGAGAGAAAGAAAGAAAGAAAGAAAGAAAGAAAGAAAGAAAGAAAGGAAGAATACCTAGTCACTAGGATAAATGTTAACAACTGAATTGTCACTTATACTTGCTGGGAGACGGAAAATTAGTTTTTTCCAATAGAAAGACACTCAATATATCAGTTGTTCCAGGACAGGCCTCATGGTCAGGAGTAGTTGACCAATATACTTCCTGTTCAGCAGTCCTAGTGTGGATCCCATCTGCTATTAAATCCAATGCTGATTCTTAACTATAGTTACTATAGTTTTCAACTCTAGTTTCTTATTAGATACTTTTTGTGTGGCAATTCTCAGCTGAAATTCTTATCTTCTAATTTTGAACTTTGAACATGTGATCAAGGTTCTTTTATTATTTTTTCATGTTTTATTATTATTTATGTTATAAGCACATGCGGTGTGTATGTTTTGCCTGTATGTGTATGGCTGTGTCCCATATGCATGTATGGTACTCACAAAGGCATGAAAATAAAAAGCATATAGAATTCTCTTGAACTGGAGTTGCATTTAGCTATGAGCTGCCATGTGGATACTGGAATTCAACCTATGCCATCCAGAAGAGTGACCAGTACTCTAAACCTCTGAACTACTTCTTCAGTTCCTCTTAGTTCATTCTAGTATATTTTTATCTGTGACAGAATCTTGCTGAGTTTCCCAGCCTGTGGTTCCTGGGCTAATATGATTTTCCACACTAGCCTACAAAGTATCTGAAGCTGTAGGTTATAGACCTGTACCCATAATGTTCAGTAAGGTTAAATTCAGAACTAAGTCTAACAATTACTTCATGAGTTTGTTCTTCTTGCCAGTTCCACTCCAATTCTGTGTGCTATTGTTTTATATTATGCTATCCATACTGTATTGTAAAATACTATTGTTGAATTCCAGATGTCTTTTTAAAGATATGCATGCATGTGTATTTATCTAATTACTCTGAGTGCTCTACCTCCACCTTTGTGTGTGGTGCCTTCCATTGCTCGTGTTTAGAGGTGTTCCTCCCTCTCTTAGGCAGTTTCAGCTCTGACATACTCTTGGATGCATTGCTTGACTTTTTCCCTATTCATACAGTCTCACTCTCACACTCAGTCTTTGAGTAGGACAAATAGAATATTTCTGTTTCTTATCCTGAATTTTGCTGCAAATTTTATTTGGTGTCTCTAGCAGCCAGATGCTGCTAGAAACTTGAGACAGTTTCTCCTTCTCAGTCTTTGTGGAGTTTCTTAGCCTCTCTATTGGTACCAAATACTAACAACAAATGTTTGGGAGGAGAGAGTTACAACACCAAGTTCTTCTCATGGCACCCCACCTTCCAGGATCTTGGGCTTCTGTCTGCACTACTCTCGAAACTCATCAGCTCCTTACAATTGCTCTTAAAAGATTTTAAGTTTCCCAAAGAGTTTAGTGGAAGAATTGGGAAAGTCTCCAAGCACCTTTATTCTGAACCCTGATTGGTTTGTACTAATTGGACATTCAGGGCATTGATTGATTGTTTATGTTGAGTGAATTCTTTGAAATTTTGGTTAAAATTTCATTTTGATTTATAGAAAATTGTTATAGATTTCCAATGTTTGTGTCCAACTTATTAGTCTTCTCTTTTAAGACTTCAAATAATACTTGAGAACACTTCTTCTAGACCCTCATTCATACTTTATAACATTCTGACTTTGGCTTTTTTACATTTAAATCTAAGTTTAAAATTTATCTTCATTTCATTTCTTTCCATGGAATGTTTTGAAAGTCTCTTTTCCCTCACATATTTAACAATCATTGGTTAAATGCATCTTCCTTTCTCACTGGCATGAGATTCTACTTTCTGCAGATTGGAAATTGTAATGTACAATCGGTTGACTTCTGAACTCTCATTGGTCTGACTATGATTAAGCAGACCATTCCTGTGGTAGTGACTGAACTTCAGTAATTTTTTTTACTATGCTTCAGTTCAAGTAATTTCTCTCCTTTATCGTTATATCACAGTGTCTTTGAGAGGTAGTAACAACTAGAGCTAAGGTGGCAACAATGGCAATACAGGACCAGGTCAGAGGAGTGGGCTTGAGGGCTGTCACTCATAGAGCTTGAGGATCTGGAGACTGTAAAAATTGTCTGTTCACACACAACTTTAAACCTTCTGGCTTGGCACTCAAAGATGGGGGAGTCATTAATTTTATGACTGTAAATATGGGAGAAACAGATTCTAAGATACAAGAAGGATCTCTCTGTATAAAGCAGGAGCAGGGACAGAATGAATCCATATATCTGATGATATAGTGAAATCTTCTAGTGTTGGCTACAAGAGTAGAAACTTGAGTTAGATGTTAAAGACATCAGATGAAATCCAGCACTGATTACATATCAAATAAATTTACTGCAGCACAAACTCTAATAAAACGTATGATTTTTCAAGAGGCAGCCCTTTCCATATTGTAAAACCCTATGAAATATTCCAGTAGGCTATAAATAGTGTTTTCAGTCAAATGAGAGGCCCAGACTTTGGCAAGAAGAAGACAGAAGATAGATTTATCAAGCTTGGGAGATTTAGGGAAAATGTTTCAAGTGATTACATAAAAGTTATTAGCAAAGAATATTTGTTGCATTTCCCACATTAACCCTAGTTTTGCCTAGAATGCAGGTTAGCAAGTTGCTACAAGGCCTGACTATGACTAGGAAGATCTGCAAGCAATTGGTAGATGCTCTATCATGATCAGGCAATGTATCCAGAACCCAGCATAGTTCAACTCTATGACCATCAACCAAGCTTCCTTTATTTGCCTACAAAACAGACAGTCTCACTTCAAATGGTATGTGTAACCTCTAAGATGCTGTTTGAATTAGGTACAAAGAACAGGAAGCATTAAAAAAAAAGAATACTAGCGCCACCACAACAAACCTCCTATGTGGTGACACGTGCCTGTAAGTCTAGGACAGAGGCAAAAAGGACTGGCAGGAGTTTGAGCCCAGCCTGGTCTCCAGAGAAAAAAACTGTTTTAAAAAACAAAGAAAAATCAAAGTAAACAGAATGATTGATTTTAATGTTTAAAAATTAGTTTTCACATGGTTTCTGTTATTTTTTCCTTTGACTTTGGGCATTTTTCAACTTTAAATTTAGATCACAAAAACAAATTTGTGCAATTTGAGGCTTGTACAATTTATTTAAATCTACATTTAACAAGTGAGTTCCAAAGAGGAAGCAGACATACTTCTTGTAAGTAGTGCCTTCTTTTTTGTTTTGTTTTTATTTTTTGCTTTATTTTTATTTTATTTAATTTATTTATTTTTGCTTGTAAGTAGTGCTAGACTCAGGAATCTTTTTTCTAAGCACTGCTTTAAATACTTTCCAGTGCAGAAGCCAGAAAGTTCCCATCAATTTACTATATTAATTCCTCAGTCACTTTTAGTATAACATCTCTCCCTTCCTTTAAGCTTCAGCAAAAATTTTAATGTAGAAAGATAAAAGGTAGTTTCCATGCCTCCTCAGAGTATCAGTTCTAAAAAAAAAAAGAAAAAAGAAAAAAAAAACAGCTGACAACAGCTTCTTTTGTAACCAAGTTTAATGTAAAAGCACCACGACTTTGCAAATAAATCATGAAGCTAGAATCCAAATGCAGAGGCAACAAATTGATGTAGCGCCATATTTAAGGTAAGACATTGTGCCTGCATTCCGGCCACATCTGGTGGTCATGCACAGACCACTCTGTTCACAATCTTGCCTCTGCTGTGGATACACAAGAACCAGTAACTTGCCAATCTCCTTACCTTGAGTAGTGTCAGTTCAGACAAACATACCCCACCCCCATTTGATCTACTTCGGTGTCAGAAGGAAATGCAGCACAGGGAGAACAAAAAGAGCTTTACCCACTGTCTCCTGCCTATAGTTCTTCCGCTGCTTGAGCTGATTCGTCCTGGGCTTGGCTTTCCTGTGACCTCCTCCCTGCCCCAGGTAGAAACTGTGAAGACCAGCTTCTGCAGACAAGAACCTCCCCACCTTTGGGCTGTTCTACCCTGATTTGGCTCCCCTTTCACATTCTGCCTGTCTGGGAAATTATGAGCAAAGATAGCAACGGTAGACAATTGACATCTAGAAGCCACAAGGTTTTGTAAAGATCAGGTCTGTACACCATCCAAGGCACAGCAATGGCTTTATCTCTGGAAGAATTTGTCCACTCCCTTGACCTAAGGACCCTTCCCAGGGTCCTAGAAATCCAGTCAGGCATCTATTTTGAAGGTAAGTATCTCTCTAATTCTTTAACTTTGATAGAGTGTTCCTATAAAGTCTCTTGGGAATTTGTCAGAGGTTTTACTAAGGAATATGTGGAAGGCTGTGTGATAGCTCAGGGTTGTGATACTAAGGTTCAAACAGCAGCACAAGCAGCAAATCCAAATCCAAGTTGTCTGAAGGAAAATTTTACACACACACACACACACACACACACACACACACACACACACTAACAAACTGCTGAATAGTGGAGACCCAGCAGCTGGTGAAGAAAGGAGAAACTAAGGCTCTAAGAAAGATGGGGAAGTGGAACTTTGTGAACTGCCATTTTTTTTTCTTGCTAGGCATTCAACAGGTGCAAACAAATGATGTTCTGCCTCTGCCTTACTTTTTGAAATTAATTGTCATTGGGTAAAAAAGAAAGTTTAATATTGCTGATGCTTGTTTCTAGACTATTAAAAATAGCAACAACAAAACAAAAACCCAAGCACTACCAAACTTGTTTTGTGTTTTGTTTCACCCAAAATGATTTTGCCTATCAAGGGCACAGTCTCGAAATGCTGCCAAGTTTGGACTTCTAAGCTTGCCTTATGCTTGGGCTCCTCTTCCTGTAGTGACTTTCTCCAATGTCCTTGAATAATGGGAATTTTATTTAAAGATAAAGAAATTAGTCCCTATTGATCAGAGACTATCTTTTAAAATTTGTGTTGAAAAGTCAAAGTTCAAAGAATATTATTGAATACTAAGCTGGTGAATTTTGATGTAACTTACTGCAGTATGTAAAATCTCCTAGTGTGTATGCTAATATTTTAAAGTTAGTTTGGGCTGGATGATGGTGGTACAGCCCTTTAGTATCAGCAATCAGGAGGCAGAGGTAGATGGATTTCTGTGAGTTCAAGGCCAGCTGTGTCAACAGGGCAAGTTCCAGGACAGCCAGTGCTACAGAGAGAAGCCTTGTCTTAAAACAAAACAAAACAAAACAAAACAAAACAAAAGTTTTTAGTTTGGTTACATACAAGGTTCTGAAAATATTTTCTAGTTAGATATGGATTCTTTGCTTACAAAAAGGGGTGAAGTAAAGCAAATCAAAGAACTGGGTCTAGTCAAACTGCTAGAAGGAATGGTTGGCATGTGAGCTTTCCCACTCACAGGCTGTTCCAGACTTCCAATGGTTAGAGTTCCAATTTTTTGACTTTTCACTACAGTGGAACTCCACAAATCATCCAGTTTTTGTTTTCCATTTTAAGTAAAGTAGTCAATAAGTCATATGGAAGACTAAACATTTGGTAATATAAAATGGGCATTTTGTCAAATGGTTTCACTCACTGTAATGCATGGACTGCACATAATTATGGTAGAACAGATTGAGCTGAGATTGTGAGTTGTTGGGTGTATCTAATATATTTGGGAGTATGGATGTTTTCAGTTCCCAGTGGGCTTATCAAGATGTAACCCTATCACAAATCGGGGAATATTTATTCAGTCTTACCTTACCAAAACAAAGCAGGTTGATACATGCACACCTACATACCTGCATACCCATGAAAGGTAATGGACTGGTAGTATTTGTCCTCAGATTATTACGAGGTTTTATGTGAGATTTTGTGAGTTGATTGTTTGAGATCAGGCTGTCTTTTATTCTGTCTTCCTCCTTTCATGTAGGAACGTATACATTTAAGTCAGCTATCAGTTGATTTTTGTTTACCCTTTTAGGGCTTTATGGAAGATGTCTTTCTACACAACTAGGAAGAGTTTTGATAGCAGTTTCATAGTTTCGGATTTTATATTTGGATTTTAAGTTATTTGCAGGATTCATTGCTATGTGATGTACAGGGACCCAATTTTACATTTCTGTATATCATCAGCTGATTTCCTAGTACCTTTTTGTTGCTTCCAAATCAGATAATATGCATGTGCAACATTTGTCTTTGAAATACCTCCTCTGTTCTGTTAATCATTTTTTAAAAATTATTTTTGGCCAATAATATACATGTTTTAAATGCCAAATATGAAATTAGTGTTACTCCATGTTCCAACGTTAACTTAGTTGTTTACAGATATTTAAAGTGCACATAGAAAAATAACAATTGCTTCTTTAAGAAATCTATTGTAGAATTTTATTGGATAGTGATGATTTTATATATTAACTTGAAGAAATATTTTTTTTTGTTTTGTTTTTCGAGACAGGGTTTCTCTGTGTAGCCCTGGCTGTCCTGGAACTCACTCTGTAGACCAGGCTGGCCTCGAACTCAGAAATCCGCCTGCCTCTGCCTCCCAAGTGCTGGGATTAAAGGCGTGCGCCACCACCGCCCGGCAACTTGAAGAAATATTAATCTTATATTTTATAAAAGAAGAATGTTCATATCATTGTCTATCATTGTCTTTATTCTTTATGACTTTACTACTATGCTACCACATAATTAAAATGAATTATCACACAGTAAGCACATCCATGTAACCATCATTCAAAGTAGAAAAACACAAGTAGAGTTCGAGGCCGGCCTGGTCTAGAGAGTGAGTTCCAGGACAGCCAGGGCTACACAGAGAAACCATGTCTTGAAAAAAAACAAAACAAAGCAAAAAAAGCAAACAAACAATTATTATCTACTCCCTTGCCCAACTTAACCAATACTCCATGACTTCTGTTCCCTCATAAGCTTTATGTAAATGGAAAATTATAGTATGCACTCTTTTAGTCGGCATACATGTGTTGTAAAGGTAATCTGTATTATTCTATACAATTTATTTTTAGTGTATAGTCTTTCTTTCCTTTCTCTCTCTCTCTCTCTCTCTCTCTCTCTCTCTCTCTCTCTCTCTCTTTCTTTCTTTTTTCCTTCTTTCCTTCTTTCCTTCTTCTTTCCTATCTTAGTACTGGGGATAGAAACTAAGGCCTCTGTGCACGCTAGGCAAGGGCTCTACCATTAAGTAATAGTCCCAACTCTCTTCTCGCTTTTCATTTTGATACAGCGTCTCACTTAGCTTCATAAGGGGGCTTTGGATTCTCTCTGTAGTCCAAGCATGTCTTCAGTTTGCAATTCTTCTGCTTCAGCCAACAGAGAATCCAGGTATATAGATACAGGCCATAAGTACCAGTAGAGTATAATAATATAGCGTTGGAGGAATATAGCAAAATTTACTTACCCATTCTACTGTTGATGGGCACTTGGATTAAAGTCACTGCTAGTGTTTTATCATGAAATTATTATATATCCGTGTTGACAAGGATATAAGAATATACGTAAGATTGTGATGTTGAATGGTATGTGTATAGTGCTTGGTGGGTAGTGAAAGAAAAGTTCCCTAGTGATTCTTCATTCTACATTTCCATCAGAAGTCTCTTGAGAGCTCCTGCTAACCTGAAGACATTTCCTGTGATTGGTCGTCTTGATTTTAGTCTTTCTGGCAGGTATACTTCTGGGAGATCAGGTTTTAGTTCACGTCTGCCTTTTGTCTACTGAGATCAAGGACATTTTCATTTCTATTCTATGATGTTTGCAGATTCTCTTTAGGACATGGTTCCTAGGTATGGCTCATTTATATTAGGCTTTATACATTTTTAATGACTTGATAATATGTATATATGTACACATACATATGACAATCTGATTTCTGTTCTGAGTATCATCTCCCAGTGCTTAGCTTAGCATTTCACTTTCTCAGGAGTACCTTTTGATCAGGTGAAGTTTTCAATTTTACTGATAGGTCTCAATTTACAATTACATTTCTATTATATGTTGCTAAGGACATTTTTCTTTACTATGAATTGTGGAACAATACATTAGCCTCTAGAAATTCAATTATCTACTCTTTCCTTAACCTTTCCTTAATATGTATTCTCTGCATAGAATTGATTGTATCGTATATGCTTTGAAAGGAGGGCTAAGCTCTATACCATTTTTTTAGAGAGCTAATTTGTACAGTGACATTGAGGAAGGGAGGAAAGGAGGAAGAGAGAGAGAGAGAGAGAGGGAGAGGGAGAGGGAGAGGGAGAGGGAGAGACAGAGACAGAGACAGAGACAGAGAGACAGAGAGAGACAGAGAGACAGAGAGACAGAGAGACAGAGAGTATCTTTCTATGTAGCCCTGGTTGTCCAGGTATTCACTATGTGCACCAAGCTGGTTTTGAACTTTCAGAAATCCCCTTGCCCTTGGCTCTCAAGTGGTAGTATTAGACAGTATCACCTGGCTAAAAAACTCTTTTTGCTAATGCTGTACTGTGCCCCGTAGTCATGAATACTATGCATCAGACCAGGGTCTTTTCCAGTGCCTTGTCTGCTTCTTCAGTCACAGGCCTGATCTTTACACAGTTTCCCTGCCTGAATGCACGTGAATCTGCAGCGTTACAGAAGATTCAGCTCCTATGCCGTATACGGCTGTGCTGCGGGACTGTGGTTCTCAAACTTGATTGCACATTTGAAACATCTGACATGTTTTTAAGATGATCATCATCTGGATGTGTCTCTACAAGTAAGGATTTAATTATGTGAGAGTTAAGGTATCACTGGCAGGTCCTAGACATCTCCCTGATGACTCTAAAGTACAGTCAAACTGAAAACAGCTAATGTGGAATAAACCTGCCAATGTGTTTTTATATTTCAAATTGGGCTCTTCAAGTTTTCATATACATTTTAGAATTAATTGTCAATCTCCACGCAAGTCCTCTATGAATTCTGATCAGCAGTGTATCATTTAGAGAAAATTAACATCCTTGTAAATTAAGCATTCTAATCTATGGGCCTCTCAAGTTGAGTCTCTTTCCTTTATGGGCAGTACAGTTGGTGCTTTTGTTGTTGATCTTTTCATTGTTTTCACATTTATTCTGAGTATTTAAGCAACCATGGAGGCTTATGCCTATCCTAGCACTGGGGAAACCGAGGCTAAAGTTTGGAGGCCATCCTGGAATAAGCAGTCTCAGGCTAGCCTAAGATATGGAGTGGTGAACTAGCTCAAAAAGAAAAAAAAAGAAAAACAAAGAAAAAGAAAGCAATAAAATAAGCCAAACAAAA